GCTCGACGCTTCCACGTCGCCACGATGGCCAAGTGGTCGACGGACTGGGCAAGGTCGCGAACACTGCGGCACCTGACCTGGAATATCCCTGTGCATGCTGATGTTTGATAAGGCACATGCCCTGTCAGGAGTCGGGCGATGATGCCCCGCGCCTGATCTCCCACGACCGCCACGGCCCTGCGAGGCCTCTTGGCGCGAGCCGGGATCATGTTCCTGAGCTGGGGCGAGCCCAGCCAGCGCAGCTAGGGCGGACGACTCAGATTCGGAGCTGAACTCGCCAGAGGCCACGTCGCTCGCGTCGCAAAAGGCCAACGCCTCGGCGTCTCCTGCGCCGATCTCTGGCGCCTTGTCGCAATCCTCATCGGCCAAGGCCTCGCTGTCGCAGGAGCTGTCTGTCTCCCGATGCTATCAGCATCCTGGGCAGCGGCCGTCGCCGATGTCTCGCCCGACCGATGGCGCTGCGTCATCCATGCCTCCAAGGCTTCGCGCATGGCCCGGGGCATGTGACCCTCGATCGCGCGCCTTCGCAGCGCCGAGGGCATCTTCTGCAGCCGCCGCCGCAATCTGCCGAGCAAGCGGTCCTCGTGCTAGGGAATGCGCCCCGCCACTTGCGGTCGCCGCTCGCCGCCGTGCGAGGGCTGCTCCTGCGCCACTCCTCGTCGACCTGGGCAGCCGCCCTCCTCCGCCGCCTCGCGCGGTCCAGCTGCCGTGCGGCGCGACGGCTCTCCGCCGCCATAGGCCGCGACCTCCACGTCGCCTCCGCGCGGGCCCGCGCGCGACCCTTCGCCCTCCGCTGCGTCGCGCGGCCCCGCTGCCGCGCAGCGCGGCCGCTTGCTGGCAGCACCGCTGCCGGGCGCAGAGCGGGCCGCGCGCTCCGCGCCTGCTGCCGCGCCGCCTCCGCGCTTCCCCTCGGCCGACGCGCCCTCTGCTGCGGCGCGCGGCTGGGCCGCCGGCCGCGGCCGCCTGCCAGCGCCATTTGCGCCGCCCGCGTCGGCCGCCAAGTGCCCCGGCACCTCAGTGGCTTCACCGGGCTCGGCCGCTCTGGTCGCACACTCCGCACGCGGCGTGGCCGCTGAGCTGCAGCTGCTGCGCTGCTGCGGCCGCGCTGCGCCTCTGCCCGCCGCGCACCCCGCGCGCTGCGGCTGCGCAGCCCGCGGGCAGCAGCCAGACGCCAGCTGCCTGTCGTACCGAGACCTGGCGGCAGGGTCCGCCAGCGTCTCGAACGCGGCCAACGCCCTCTGGAACGCCGCTGCCGACTCTGTCGGGGTGCACCTCCACGGCGTTCCTCCGAACGGCAGCGCGCAGGTCCACCGCGGAAAGCCCGCCGCCGTTCAGCCCTCCGCTTGGCGCCGCGCAGTCCAGGAGCTCGTAGAGTTTCGGAGATGCTGGCATGGCCGCTGCAGAAGGCTCGGGCAAAAAATTGTCATGCAGCGTGCTTGTACCATCTGGTCTGGCGATTTGCGTTCCCGAGATGCGCCACCTGCGGAGCACGCCCGCGCGGCATGGCGCCGCGCACGCATTCTTAACTCCAAAGCTACTACGTTCTAGGGTTCAAATGTTCGTGCGTTCTAGAGCTTCAAACCGCGCGTGGTTCTAGGGTTTGAAGGCTCGGTCGCTCGAGAACCTGATTCCGAGCGCGTTCTGGATTTTATGTTGGCGCGTTCTAGAACTTATGCTCGCACGTTCTGGTGATTATCTGTCGCGCGCTCCCGTTCTTAAACTGGGCGCGTTCTGGTGCGCCTTTTCGTGCGTCCTCGTGCTCCTCAGGAGCCGCCCGGTGGGCACCAGAAGGCGCGCGTGACGCTGCTGTCGCGCCGCTCTCGGCGATCGGGGTGCCCCTGTGGGCCCGCGCCGACGGCCACTGCGGCGAAGGGCCGCTCCTCCGTCGTCGCCCGACGCTTTCCCCCCCCCCGCGCTCGCCGCCGACCCTCGCTCGCCACCCGCGTCGGCGCCGCGGATTGCGGAAGTGGCGTCGAGAGCTCCGGCGGCCCGCGCTGCGACGCGAGAAGCGCACGACGTCGGAGGCGCTCGTTCGAGACACGCCCAACCCGCCCCCCGCCCTGCGACGAAGCCAGGGCAGGGGACAACATCGTTCTGTTCCCCCTATTCCGAGACCTGTGTCCGGGCACCCGAAGGACAGTCAGGACACTCCAGTTCCCTACATGAAGTTGGCGGCGGGCTGACCTTTCAAGATCAGCGCAGTGAGCCATCAGCACGCCACAAGGGGGCAACATTTGGTTTGGTTCGGTCCGTCCGCAGGCACTGTCGCGCGCGTACAAAGAAACTAAATACGTGTGCTGCGACACCGATTGACTTATAGCGACCCCGACCGAAGGCCAACAACTGTGAGAGCGGGAAAATGCCGCTGCGGCTCCACAAAGGGGCAACATCGGACAATGATGAATCGGGGATCTCTGAGACCGCGCCGCTCTGGAGGATGTCTCGGGCGCCGCGGCCTTCTCGGAGCGTTCCGTAAGGCGCGTTCCAAAACGTCCTGGGACGGACTTATCCTCGTCCTAGCCGCGCCCGACCCCCCGCCCCAAGACGAAACCAGGGTATAGAGACAACATCGCACAATGATAATTCGGGGATCTCTGAGATCTGGCGGTTCTGGAGGATGTGTCCAGTGCCACGGCCTTCTCGGAGCGTTCCAGGAACCTCTGGACCGACTGCATCCCTGCCCTGGCCCCGCTCGACACCCGCCGCTCCCCCCCCCCCCGCGGACATCTCCACGAGTCGTTTTGAAGACGGCCCCACGCCCCACATCTGTTTGTACGTGTGTATGTATGTATGCTTGTATGTATGTATGTATGTATGTATGTATGTATGTATGTATGTATGTATGTATGTATGTATGTATGTATGTATGGTTGTATGCATGCATGCATGCATGCATGCGTGTATGTATGTATGTGTGTACGTACGTATGTATATATGTATGTATGTGTGTATGTATGTATGTATGTATGTATGTATGTATATACATACATACACATAAACTTACATGTGAACACGCACGCACATGTATGCACATCTGTAAGCATGCCGATGAAAGTATAAACAAGCCTACGGATGCACACATACGCAGAGAGAGAGGGGAGAGAGGAAGGGAGGGAGGGAGGGAGAGGGACATGCAATTACATATAAAGCGAGCGAGAGGAGGAAAGAGAGAGAGAGAGAGAAATTAGGAAAGATAAGGAAAGAGAGAGAGAGAGAGAGAGGTACAGAAATACATGATGGCTTAGGGAGAGAAATAGAAAACAAAACGCACAGCACACACACAAAGAGAGAGAGAGAGAGAATGACAGATAAATATAGATATCTCTATATATATATAGAGAGAGAGAGACAGAGAAGGAGAGAGAGAGAGAGAGAGAGAACAAAAAAAGCGCGAGAGAGAAAAGAGAAAGAAAGGAAAAGAGAAGGACATATATATATATATAGATAGAGAGAGAAGGCACGGGAAGTGGAAACGCGGGGGTAGTGGGGGGACAGGAGGAGGAGGACGAGGAGGAGGAGGAAGAGGAGGAGGAGAAGGGGGGGGAGAGGAGAAAGAGGAAGAGAAGGAGGGAGGAGGAGGAATAAGAGGATGAGGAGAAGAAGGAGGATATAGGAGGAGAAGGAGGGGAAGGAGGAGGAGGGTAAAGAGGAGGAGGAGGGTAAGGATGAGGATGAGGACGAGGATGAAAGTGAGTATGAGTATGAGTATGAGTAGAAGTATGAGCATGAGGATGAGAATGATGATGAGCATGAGCATGACGCTCATTTTGTTGATGATGATAATGACGAAGATGCTGCTGCTGATGATGATGGTTATGCTGATGATGCTGCTGATGACGATGATGCTGATGATGATGCTGATGATGATGATGCTGATGCTGCTGCTGCTGATGATGATGATGATGATGACGATGACGATGACGACGACGATGATGATGATGATGATGATGATGATGATGATGATGATGATGATGATGATGATGATGATGATGATGATGATCATCATGATCATGATCATGATGATGATGACGACGAGGAGGAGGAGGAGGAGGAGGAGGAGGAGCGAACGCCGCCGTCAGGGCACGTGCATCCGATCTTGGCAGCGCGCGGCCCGGCACCGCCCGAGAGGTCTGGCGCAGGAGGAAGAGATGGAGGAGGATGGGTAAGAAGTAAGAGGAGGAGGAGGAGGAGGAGGAGGAGGAGGAGGAGGAGGAGGAGGAGGAGGAGGAGGGAGGAGGAGGAGGAGAAGTCCTTGCGCTACCTGGCCATGCAGCATACTATGCATGCTCTACTCCGTCTAGTTGTCACTAATCTGCCCTTCTACTTTCTTAGTGCTGCTAGGTCAGGCCTGCCTCCTTTCCCTTTTTTTTACGCGGAAGCTACAGCCAAGACGCTCAAGCTCGCCCAACGTAAAAAGGAGGAGGATTGAGAAAGGAGGGAGGCGGAGGGTGAGAGGTGGTCAGGAGGGCCGGGACACGGGGAAGGGCCGCCCTCGTCCCTCCCTCCTCTCCTCCTCCTCGGCTTCCTCCTCCTCCTCCTCCTCCCCTGTCCTCCTCCGCCGCTTGACCTCCTCCTCCTCCTCCTCCTCCTTCTCCCCCTCCTTTTCCTCCTCCTCCTCCTCCTCCTCCTCCTCCTCCTCCTCCTCCTCCTCCTCTTGTCCTCCTCCCGCGTGCGCCGACGCGGTCTGCACGCACCCGCACGAGACGGAGAGAGGACAAGAGGAGACCGCGAAGCGCCGCGAAGACGGGGCAGGCGACCGCGTCGAGCCAGCGCCCCGCTCACCCGGAACGCTGCCGACTTCGCCGTCGACGACGACGACGGCGTCGCCGTCGCCGTCGCCCCCGCCGTCGCCGTCGCCGCCGCCGCCGCCGTCGTCGTCGCCGTCGTCGTCGTCGTCGTCGTCGTCGTCGTCGTCGTCGTCGTCGTCGTCGCGGTCGTCGTGGCCGCCGCCGCGGAGCGCGCATCCCCCGACGTGTGGCGCTGGGGTCCAGGCCCCCCGCCTCGCGGTCGCCCTCCTCGCCCCCGTTGGCCTCGGCCGCCTTCTTCTCGTCGCCGTCGCCGCCCTTCTCCGCCTGGCGCGCTCGCAGCGGCGAGATCGATAGTGAGATAGTTTGGGAGATCGATAGTGAGATCCGTTGTGGGATCGGTATCGAGATCTGTTCGGAGATCGCTTGTGAGATCTATCGTGGGATCGACAGTGAGATCGATCATGATGTCGATTGTGAGATCGAATGGGAGATCGATTGTGAGACTGACAGTGGGAACTATTGTGAGATCGATAGTGAATCCGAATGTGTGATCGATAGTGAGTTCGACTGTCAGATCGACAATGAGATCGATTGGAAGATCGATGGTGCGAACTGTTGTGAGATCGATCGTGAGATCGGTTGTGGATGGGGGGCGAACGATGGAGTGAAGCAGCTCAGCCGGATGGGATGACAAACAACAGCACTCATCGCGACCAGCATCATCACCACGCGTCGTCACCAACCCGAGGGCGCATCACCGGCATCGTCCTCACCGCTACCACCAATGTTGCTATTATTTGGTTTTTGTCCCCCCCAGCCTCCTTATCACCCGAAGGGTGGTCGTCTAGGTATATGATTTGTAAAGAAAAAGGGAGAGTGATAGAGAGAGGTAGCAAAACAACAAAGAGAGACGGATAATCGTCTGGCGTCCTGGTCTGAGTCTTTCTTCCTGGGCTTCAGCTCGGCCTTCATTTTTGACGGCTTCTCACCGTCGCGCTTCCCAGACCCGGACCTGCGCGGGAGGCAGTCGTAGGAATAGGAGGAAGAAGAACACAAAGAAGAGGGGGATGGGGGAGAAGGAATAGGGGGAGAAGGTGGAGGAAAGTAGCGGAAAGAGGAGAACAAATTGGGAGGAAGAATGGAGGGGGGAGGGGGAGGGGGATGCAGAAAGGGAGAGGAGGAAGGGAGGGGAGGAGCAGGGGGGAAGAGGGAAAGGGGGAACGAAGAGAAGGAGTGAAAGAGGGAGCGAAGAGGATGAAGGAATAATGATGAAAACAAGCACTCGCAAGTGCAAACAAACACCGACTGTAAGGCCCGTCGACCTGGTGGATCTCCCAAGGCCCACCCGGGAGGAACCTTGGCGTGGCCAGCGGAGGGCCAGTGGGGAGAGGGAAACCGATCTGCACCACTAAGCCCTCATCGGGTCAAGGTTGACGTCCGAGTGTTGTTGGAAACTACCTGTGGGCATAGCTGGTAGCCAGTGTCCGCCAAGATCCGGGCGCAAACATTGGGCCTGCATAGGGCCGGCGGCGCTGCTCAATGTCCCACCCCCGAGCGCAGATGGTGGGCAGTCCCGCAGATCCAGGTCGCCCATTTTCACGCCCTCGCGCCGCCGCGATGCGCGCTCATCCTGGCGCCCCCGCGCGCTAACGCGGTAGAACATGGCACCTTGGCGGCTCAGGCCGCGACGCACGATGTGCGATGATCTTCGGGCACTGCGGGAGACTCGGCAAGTATCTTCGGGCTCTTCGGGGCAAGACTTCGCGGCAGTCAGTTGCCCGCCATTCCTCCTCCACCTCCTCCTCCTCCTCTTCTCCCTCCCTCCTCTTCTTCCTCCTCCTCCTTCTCCTCCTCTTCTTCCTCCTCCTCCTCCTTCTTCCTCCTCCTCCTCCTCCTCCTTCTCCTCCTCCTCCTTCTCCTCCACATCCTCGTGTTCCTACTTTTCTTCCTCCTCCTCCTCCTCTTCATCCTCCTCCTCCTCCTCCTCCTCCTCCTCCTCCCTCTTCCTCCTTCCTCCTCCTCCTCCTCCTCCTCCTCCTCCCCCTCCTCCTCCTCCTCCTCCTCCTCTCCTCCTCCCTCCTCCTCCTCCTCCTCTCCTCCTCCCTCCTCCTCCTCCTCCTCCTCCTCCTCCTCCTCCTCCTCCTCCTCTTCTCCCTCCCTCCTCTTCTTCCTCCTCCTCCTTCTCCTCCTCTTCTTCCTCCTCCTTCTTCCCTCCTCCTTCTCCTCCACATTCTCGTGTTCCTACTTTTCTCCTCCTCCTCTCTCCTCCTCCTCCTCCCCTCCTCCTCCTCCTACTCCCCCTCCTACTCCGCCTGCACCTCCTCCTCCTCCTCCTCCTCCTCCTCCTCCTCCTCCTCCTATTCCTGCGCTCGTAACTCGATGAAAAGGTTCGGTTATCTTCCACTGCCTTTCCCTCTACCCGCAGCTCCCGCTGGGCGGTCCTGCAGTGAGGAACTTGCACCACAGTTGGTTGAGGATGTGCAGGAGCGGCAGGGCAACGCACGATCGTTGGAATGAAGTGGACGGCGGGCGGGGGAGTGCACAGCCGCAGCAGCAGCAGCAACAGCAGGAGCGAAAGGATGATCGGACGAGGGAACGGGATGGGTTCAAGACCGCCTCGGCGACGTTCGCAACGGACGTAGCGGCTCCATTCCATCTCCCCACGAGATTGGGTGGGGGAGAACATGGTGGGTTAGGAATAAGAAGTATAACGCGGTGACTGAATTACTTGGTGTATCCGTTGAAGGATCTGCTAAGTCCTAGACGGTGGAAGGTAGTCTTCGGGAAACGGGGGGCATTTGTATTCCTGTAAGAAACCCCAGAACCTCGGACAAACGGGATAGTGAGCCTGTGAATATGATCCACTGCTACACCCAATCGCACACATCTGGGATTGTTGGAACCGAGACTGGGACGCCCAGGCTCCTGAGTGTTTTCAGCACAGCCGCCCTCCACGGTGGCGGGAAAGAGAGAACAGTGTCCTGCACTCGAGGCCATGGCACCGAATCCAGCTGCTTCAGAGGAACAAGATGGAGGTGGGAGAGGCGGGCACGAAACGACGGAGCAAGGGAAGGGGGACATCTACACGACTTGAGGGTCACACTGGCAGCTTTCTGGATATTCTTGCCATCTCGCTGGGCCTCAAGCGCAGCCTGTGGCGCAATCTGGCCAGCCTTCGCAAAATGCGGATCATGTCTGAATCCAGTCGACGCTTCGTCCAAGGTGCCGCAAATCGGGGGCTCTGTCCAAAGGGCGGGACAGCGGCGGCTTCCCCCACTGTCTCCAAGCGCGAGATCTGCCACGCCTCCGAGAGACGAACGCGGCAAGGCCGCCGAGCTCTGAGCGCGCTCTTTACCGCTCGCATCAGCGTCGCCGCATTGAGAAGCACAGCGTTCCGAAGCCTGGCCCCGCCCCAGCTTTCGAAAGAAAAGAATGCTTGACGTGAGAGCGAGCAGTGCGGCATCTTGAGGATCGAAATGAAACTCGCGTGCTCCGTCTGGGGCGATGTCTCGGGGGCCCGACAGAACTGCGCAGCGCGCCCCAAGCAGGAGAGAACACGAGTCGCGCATGGCCGCGGCCGCCGCCGCTGGGGCACCAGACTGGGCGACGCCGGCAGCTCGCGGCGCCCGCTTGGCCAAGGGGGCGCCCTGGGGGGGGGTCGGGCCGAGGGGGGCCCCCAGGTGCAGGGGCTTCGGCGCCGCGCATAAATCGGTCCATTCGAGCGCGCGCCTCCGAATCCAGTCTCGATGCTTCTGGGCCAGTGGCTCCGAAAAAAAAACCAGCTATGGGGAGCGAGAGTGCATTTCCTCAGGTCAAGGGTTAAGTTGGCCACCCGTTTCGACGCCCGAAAAACCGCGCGCAGTTTGTTCGACGCAACCAGCTCGCGAACCACGCTTCCCCTGCCATCCGCGCAGGCCCTCGCGAGGCCGAGGCTCTTCTTCTCACCGGGTTTTCGACGTGTTCGGCGAACGGGCGGGGGGCAATGGCGCGCAACGCACCGATGGCGGGGCACCCTTGGGCGATCCCAGATTCGATGAAGAACGGGAAGTCCATGCATTGGCCGAGAAGACCGCAACGCGACGCCCGCGATTAAATCAACTCGAAGAGTTCCAGAAGGGGAGGCGGGAGTTTGAGCGATTCCACCATGGCGGAAATCCAATGCTGGGAGACCGAGGGGAAGGCCCTGTCGCCGTCGAAAGCGAGGGGGGCGGGGGGCCTGGCAGACACCCCTGGCATCATGGATGCGATCCGAGATTCTGCATCCAGCTCGATAATGTTGCCCCCGAAGTTGCGCCTTGGAACGAAGCCCCTCTGGGCCTTGCTGATAAATCCAAGGGGGGCGACGGTGAGCGGCTCGACGCGAGCCGAGGTTCGTGTTTGGCAATCCGTGCTCTTAAGTCCCAACGGTCGAGAACCACTCGCGTCTCGGATCACGTTCCCGCCGTCCTCGGGCTCTGCCCCCTTCGCCAGGAAGGCGCCGAGCATCTGGTTGAAACCGAGGAGCGGGGGGGCTGCCGGCCAGCATCCACTCTGGGCGTGAAAAGCAAACCTCGGGCCTATCGGGGAACTTCTCAGCCCGATGTGGTGGGCCGTTGGGGCCGAGGGCGCTCGGATAAGCCTCGTCCAGGAGACGCGCGGCGTTTCCTTCCGCGGGCGGCAGCGACCCAGAGAGGCCGACCAGTGGCTCGAGCCTCTGGGAGCACTGGTGGGCAGCAGCCACGTCCGCCTTCATCTCGGCAGAAGTGGGGCCCCAATGCCTGGTCGGACCATGTGGGGCCTCCCGCGGGTTGGCGGCGGTCGTGTTGGAGGCCAGCCTGGGGCCCTGCAGGGGGCCTTCGGTCGGCCGAACGGGGGCCGGGGTCGGGGGCGGACCTGGGGGCCCTGAACCTCATTGGCCAACTTGGCCCGCTCGAGCATCGGCGGGTCTTGCGAGAGCCTGCGTCTGGCATCGGCTTGCGCGGAGTGGAACAGCGCCAGGTTGGCTTCGTTCGCCCACGCATTAACCGCGAGGGGCCAAGGGCGCTCGCGCCCCGGATGCGAACATCCATGCTGGCAAACTCGCGGCCCAGCGGGCGGGGTAATATAGTGCGCCTGGCCAGCGCCGCGCCTTTTTCCCGCGCTGCCCTGGCGATCGATCGACAGGCGACGTAGCGGGGGAGAGGATCGCGAGGCTTACCATGGAGGAAGCGATCGCGCGCGTGTCTGCCTGCTTCGCGCATGGGATTTTTGCGAAATGGGAGGCGAATGGGAGGGTGGAGTTCGCTGTCGTCGATCTGCGCCAGCGCAGACTCAATGAACTGCTGATACTAGGGGCGCTTGAGGATGTCTCGGTGTCCTTCGGTCTTTGGCGTGCTTCTGGGCTCGAGGCTCGAGGGCGGCGCTGGTGGCAGAGTGGTCCGGAAGCTTCGTTCTCGCCATGGCCTCAGGATAACCGTGCGCTCGGGGGCCCGCGCGCATCTGCGCGACGCACCACCCAGGTGCGGAAACGAAACACCGGTCCAGCTTCCCGAGAGCCCTCCGAGAGGCGCAGAAGTGGGCGGACCCCCCAGGGTCGATGATCGATCCTGGGGGCCCCGATCTCAACGAACCTTCTCAGGGTGGCTTTCCATTGGCCTCCAGAGCGGATCTGTTGGGATGTCGGCTTATCGGGGTCCCCTGGGTCTGGGTCTATCCGGCCCAACTTACGTAGCTTGTGGAGGCAAAGGTCATCCAGCGCCTTCGGGGGCTCGCCGGAGAAGTTCAAGTCGCCGCCTCAGAAGATGAAGCCTTCCATGGGGGGTCCTCCGAGGCCGTGCTGAAGTCCTGGGATATAGCCTCTAGGATGATGGCGCGCTGTGCTGTTCTCAACCCGCGGTTATGACATGTTGCAATGGGAAACCAAGGCGCCGTTTGGAAACGACGCTCGAATATTCAAGGCACGTTTCCTGACAAGCTGAGTCGCTTCTGTCGCGGGCCTCCCGTCGGTGCCGCGC